GAAGTATCCTTACTAAGAGCCGGATTTTAGGAAAGAAGTTCGCGCTTAAAGAAATTAAAGGTTAGCTCCTTACAATCTTCGGCTACTAAACTTACTTAATTTACTTAAACCTAAATAAAATTATTTAAATTAACTTTATAAAGTTCTATAAAAACCCTAAAACCTAATATATAAGGCCACCGAACTTTATTAGCCTATTAAAAATAATAAACCGGTTTAATAACTTAAAGGATAAGCTAGATATTTAAACTTTTATAGAGGACCCTATTTAAATACCGGATCCTAAAATTCCAGTACCCTTTACTACTATTAAAATCCTATTACCTTAAGCAATTCGGGAGTAACGTAAAGAATTTAAATTTATTAACGAAATAAATTATATTAAGTTTATTAATTACTTAATCTCTAAGTCCCTAAAAACCTTAATAATTTAGCTTACAGCTATATCTTTAAAGCCTAATACCTTTAAATAAGTCCTAAAGTACCCTAATAAAAATTAATAATTATAAATAATATTTATAGAAATATAATAGTTCTTTATAACGAAAACCTTTTACTTTATTAACCGCTTAAAAGCTAAAAAATAATTAATTATTAATCGTTAGGTCTTTAAAAAAAAAAAGAACCTATAGGGTATTATAGTAAAGTATAAAGTACAGTTAATTACCCGGGAATTTTAATAAACTTTAAAAATTAATTTCCTATAGATTTACGTTTTTACTATAGGCCCTCTAACTTAAAGGATTATATTAATTATTATTACGGTATTTAATTAAAATATTAAATAAATAAATTTCGTAAAAGTCTTTTTAAATTCGGAAATTAATTTCGATATATATATCGAATTTCCGTAAAGCCTAACCGAGTTTTCTTATAATAGTTTAGCCGCTATAACCCTATTTAAGAAAGTTAATTAGGACCTTATAAAAAACTAAATTATATTTTTAAAAAAAAAATTTTATAGCTTTAAGTAAGCGTTTTACTTATAATAATAAAAGGTTTTTATAATAGCCCGGGTATTAGGTTTTAAACTATTAATTTCAAATATAATTATTTACTTTTATTTAAATTATATAATTTTTCTTATTAATTACGTTAATAATTATTTACTTATAGGCCTATAATATTTATAACTCTAAACCTTAAAGAAAATAATGGGTAATTATTACGATATTAAAGATCTCGGCCCGGCTCGCTATTTTTTAGATATTTAAATCGAACGTAATAAACTAAATCGTTACCTCTAACTTTATTAAAAAGCTTATATTAGCGAAACCGTTAAATACTTTAATATTAATATTAAGCCTATACCTCTTCCCCTAAGCCCAGGGCTTATAAAATATAATAATAAATCTAAAAGCCTTATAATACCTATAAAACAATACCTTTATTAGTAATTAATCGGTACTACTATATATACTATAGTCTAAATAAAGCTTAATATAACCTTTAATATTTAATAGCTATTATAATACCTAAAAGCATTTACTTTAATATACCTTAAAGCTACTAAATCCCTTCTTTCTTACCTATATACTACTATAGATTTAACTATTGGTTACGGCTCGAATAAGGATTTAATACCTATTAGGTTTACGGATAGTAATTAAATTAAATATAAAACTAATATTAAATTAATATATAATTAATTATTTATATTTATTAAAAAACTTATTAATTAAAAATCTAAAAAGGCTTTTATAGTTTCTTTTAATACCTTAGAAACTAAGTTTATAGGGCTTATAGAGGGCCTTAAGGAAACTATATAGTTTAAAGGATTATTTTAGGAGATCGGTAAACCTATCTACTAACTTACCCCCTTATTATATAATAACGAAAGCTCTATTACTATTACCTATAATAATAAATATAATTACCGAATAAAATATATATTTATTAAATTCTAAAGGGTTAAAAAAACTATAGTTACTAAAGTAATTATTATTATTTATTTACCTATTAAGAAGAAACTAACTAATAAGCTTACTAAAGCTTTTCCGGTAGCTTTATTTAATAGATTTATAGAGCTCTTAAATCTCACTAGACCGTTCTAACTACCCACGCATTACGGGCTATAAAGGAG